AATGTTGTGCTTTAACCTGCTGCACCACCAGCAAAGGCCCCATTTTACATTTTATTTAGATCTTGTTTACTTTCCATGTTTATAAACTGACCAACAAAAATAAACAAACCGAGAAAGTCATTTATTTGCAAACAATTGCCCACAATATAATTTCATGAACAACGTTCATCTAAAAAGTTTGAAAGGAATTAGCCTATAACAGTCTGATTTTTTTTTAAATTATATATATGGGTAGAGCTGTAAAAGTGTATAGTTTTAGTAGTAAGTATTCCATCTAAGAATGGTGTCTTTCTCCTTAATTTGGGCATTGGCACCGGTTTGATGATTAGGAAGCATTCTAATTTGCTTTACTCTTAAATATTTACTTAGGTATTCTTTTATTCATTCAACAAATATTTGCAAAGTTTATAAATACAATATGCCATTGAAGGGAAGATAAGTTCTATTTGAACAAGTATAAACAAACTGCACAGTTTTGAGAGAATGCAAAAGGTTAAGATTGTTTTCAGCTGGGGAAAGCCAACTGGATTAGGATTGCCATATGGGTTTGGAGTGTCTAAAAATGACTGGCAGGGCATTTAATGAGAAAAAGGAGGGTGAAGGCATGGACATGTGTGGGGGACAAGATTTAGTTTGAGCAGGGAAGTAGGAAACACAGTCAGTTGGGACTAGATCAACTGGTCTTTGGTACTAGGCTAAGTGGTTGGAACACTGTGTGGTGGGGAACTATTCAGTTTTTATGAACAAAGTAACATGGTCTTGTAGCAATGTGTTAGGAAACTTGTCAAGCAAGACATAGAAGAGTATGTCTCTGTGACTATGAAGTATACTTCTTGTGGCTTACAAAGGCATTTCCTTGAGCATTGATGGCAAGTTGTGGTTGTTAAGGATGTCTCCTACTCTAACATCTGAGCTTGGTGATTTTTGCCAGCATTGTCTCTACTGGGACCAAAATTGCCAGCTTGGATTCTGCCTTTCCTGTTCAGCTCCATTAGCCTGGACTCACTCTGACAATATCCCAGAACCTGCCTCTGCCACACAAATAAGCTTGGCTTATTTTTCAGAATCTTCTAGGACATTAGCATTTCTTGCTCCCACTTTCACTTTCAATTTTTTTTTTTCTTTTGAGCTAACAAGTCTGCTCATTTTTTGCTCTACTGAGATAGGGCATATTAAGTGAAGTTTATGATGTGATTGAGAGATAATAAAGATTTGGTTGAAGGTGGGAAGGAGAAAAGAAGAAATTCAAGAAATATTGTGGAAGTGACAAGATCTGATGATTGAATATGGAAGTGGGGGAGAAGGTGTCAAATAATATTGTTGGCATTTGAGCCCGTTTGAATCCATATAGTCTGCTTTCCATTTGCTAGCATTGGCGAGAGCCAGGAGGAGGTCCTACAGTTTGATTGTGTGACTTCAGAGTCCATTTTCCTAACCACAGTGGTATTTTGCCTCAACATGAAACTTCCTCTAATTTTCAAAGCCCCTAAGTTGTGTTCCTTTACTTGGGTTAACATAGGATTAATCTAAACTCTACATGGATTTTGGGAATCACTTTAGATTCTTTCCCTCTAAAATTTGTGGTGCTGGTAGATTTTTTTTTTTTTT